GTCAGCAAAATTTCCCCACTCTCAACCGCCCCATACTCTACTGAACGATACGTGCTTTTTCTATGTCAAGGCCGTGTTATCTGTTTCAATAATGCGTTTGTGCTAGTTTCTTACTGTAGTGTCCAAGGGCGTATCGTCAGTCATTCCCACAATTGTAGGGCGCCTTTATGGCCTTCTTGATTTTTATAGTTTTCTACTCTGTTTTGAGATTATGTTACAAATCTATCTAAATAAAATTGTTTATTCTTTTTTCTTTACATCGTCTGTTATATAGCCTGAAATTTTCTACAATTCAAGAAGAAAACATAGCTTGACAATGAGAGAGCCCTGACGCTGACGCGGAACAGTAGAAATATCCCAACTTTTATGAAGGAGAGGAAAGACTATGAAAAACAAGGAGGCCATCAGGCGTCCTACAGTTGTAGGAAGACTAACGATACGGCGCTAAGCTATAGCTCTGCTTTCTATGATAAGTAAAGTCATGGAGAGGTGCATAAATCGCGAGCTTCTGGAGTAACGCACCGCTTTATTAGCAACAAGCAGTATGCTTTGCGGCACCAGCGATTCATAAGGAACCTTCTAGCTTACGTCACGAAATGTTGGAGTGGTGAGGCTCATGTCGTTGCTGTAGCATGCTGGCCTATTATGCAAACTTCCATCCTATGGCCTCCCAGAGAAGCTTAGCAGATGGGTGGCTGACTGTACTTTTGGTTGCAAGATCTCCTCTTCATCCCACAACGGCAACCAGGGTGTTCCCCAGGGATCGGTCTTGGCTCCGACACTGTTCCTCTCACATATCTACGACCTCCTTTCCTGTACGATCAATCCAATCCACAGCTTTGCTGATGACAACACTCTAAAAGCAGGAATTCAGAGACCTGGAAGTTATCACTGCTTGGGGACTCAACAATCTTTACAGATTAATGCTCCCAAAACACAGTACTGTGCGTTGTTGAAGAAAAAGCGTCCTAGTTCTCGTCCGGTTTCGATGGATGGCCGAAGACCCATTCATTTCGAAGTTTAGATCACCAGGACATGACAGCAGCTGCTGGGCAAAAGCTAGGCTCTTCGTTTAGAGCTATGGAGTACTTTTCTCCGCATGACCTCCTCGCTCTATACAAGGCCCAGATAAGACCCAGCCTTGAGCATTGCTCACATGTTTGGGGTGTTGCCGCCCGACTACATTTCTCATGCTCGATACCATTCAGAGGAAGGCTGTCCGACTAAATCGTGACTTCTCTAACAGACAGTCTCGGGACCCTTTCGCACCAAGGGGCTGTCGGCGATCTAGCTCTTTCTACCGCTACACCAATGGGCTTTGCTCCTTATAGTTCTCCTCCATGATTTCGTCGCGCGATATGCCTGTCAGACAGACCCATCCTAACCGTGTCAAACTTCGTACATCCAGAACTGGCCGATACGACCGATCCTTTGTCCCTAGGGCGTCCAGATTGTGAAACAATCTACAAGAGGAGACTTTTCCCAGTTCTACTAACCTTTTGCAGTTTAAAAATCGGATTAACAAAGTTTCTGTGGAATTCTTCTATCAGCCGCTTTCCCTGGCATTAAGGCTTCTGCTTGCGCGGCTTCTTTGGTGTAAAAAAAATACATTAAACACGCAAAATTCAAAAATATCGACACGACCAGAGTAGAATATCCATGTTCGTGTTCGAGAAGTAAGTTCTGAACTCCTGCGGGTACACAGCCCTTTCTGGAGTCTGTCTCTGTCTTTATTAACCGAATTGGTGCTCGAGTTGATTAAGACGAGACGTCGTAGTGGAGTAGAGGAGGAATCCTCCTCCTCCTCTAGCATTGCCTTTAACTGTCATTGATTTTGCTAACTTGGTTACACGACTACACATCAGACACTAGAACTACAACGGCAAAACACAGATACTTTGAACGATATTCCCATCCAAAATTTAAGACATGCTAATTCAGGGTGACGGCTGAGCAGAGTGGATGTTCTCGGAAAACTGCTCGCTTTTCAGGTGCTAGAGACTAGAGACACCCATTATGTATACGTATATTATAGATTGTGTGTTGTATAGAAGAATGGGTAATCAAGCTATATAATGGCATCCAAGTGTCATAAATCCCTTTGTACCACTAATTAACACATATAACATAACTTGATAATGATAATAATAATAATAGTAATAATAAACGTCTTTGTTATTACAACAACATTGTGATGCAGCTAAGGTAAGACTTCTAAAAATAAAATAAACAGTACTAAACAGTACTAAAACCAGGACGTCATCTTGACTACTTTTTCGGTAAGAATGCAACAATAATTTAATAACCATTCACTATGATACGTAAAATCTTAATTGCAATTATTTGAACTGTTATGTGGTCTTGTTTGTTTACAATTTTATTTTGATTTTGTGAATATATTTGGAACTAAAAATGTGACATGGAATTTTAAGTTAGGACGTCATGTTGTTAATTTGGAATAGTGCTTAAATGTGCAATTTGTAGGTTCACGCTGCTTGTAGTGCTTATGAATCCGGTGTCTATATCTGTGATAATTCTAAGAACAGTAACTAAGAACGCTAAACTACCTGCACCCTAAGTAAATTTACGATTTTGGAGTTTTTTACCTTGATGAATATTTTGATCGGGTTCCTGATTTTTGTTTTGTTTGACTGTTCATATCATTGGAATTTAATGATTTCCCAATAAGTCAATGCATTTTTTATTTTGCTATCCCGTTTATCTTGAAATTTATTTCGGAAAAACAAACCAGTATTCCAAATATGCTGCAATTCCTCTACATATTTAGCTTCACTTACTACATTATTCACAGTTTGTAGACAATAAAAATCTATTCTATTCTACTTGTAGATAGTCGAGATATACAAAATATCGTCCGGCATATCAGGCATTGTATTTCAAAATTCCGCTCACACATTTCTTGTGTACCTCAGCGCCAGGGAGAAGCAATTCGTTGCAATACAGTCGTGGACAGAGACATGTTAAACGTCGGCCATTTGCATCTTACATGCAGATGTAGAGATTAGCATCTCAAGTAGCCTCTAAACTTAATTAATTAGAGCAATATCGTTAAGCCTTTCGGACGATAAAGAAACGGAGCACGGTAGTGTTTAGAAAATATGGCGATGGCATGGAATGGCTACTGCTAAGCACTGAGAATGTTGTCGTTGTTGGTTTAGTTATTTGTTTTTATCGGTAAATGAAACTGCGCCAGGGGCGGTTGGTGGACAAAATGGCGGCAAAGCGAGTTTAGTTGGTTTGTGTTTATCTGGAGTAGCCTTATATTTATAATATAGCATTTATTAATGTATTATCCAAAAAGGCGACCGTCCAATAATAAATGGTATCCTCCAAGTTCAGTCTTTACACGTCATATAGATCTTGGAAAAGTAACCACTTTCTTCTAGTAACATACACACCCAATTCTTAAGATTACCAAGATGTTAGACTCCGCAAAATCATTCAAACCTCATCCGACTGTGCACCTCGATCAGATCAAACGTAAACACGTACGATGCGGATCAGTACACAATCCAGACGCTGGCCGCCTTTGATCAAGTTGAGCATTATGCACTTCTGGATAAGCTTAAAACAGTGGGTATGTCTGATGCAATGCTGTCGCTCATGAATTCATACGGGGTACCTCAAGAATCAAATCTAGGTCAATTATTGTTTTTGATATTTATTAATGACTTGTCTTTTGAACTGAAGTGTTTCCATTTATTTTTCGCTGAATGTTGATACATTAATCACTTTATTTTTTAATTTTGTCAGGAGCAAGTTGGAGTATGCGACTCTGATCTGGTCTTCTATATACCAAAATTCTGTCGTGACCCTTGAGGCCATTCAACGTAAAGCCTTAAAGTATTTTCACCTTAAATGCACAGGTTCTTATCCAGAAAGAGGTTGTGACCATAGTGCCCTATTAGAGTTTTTCAACTTGGATTAACTGTCAACAAGACGAAACATATTTGCTTTGTCGTTTTTGTATGGCCTCATTCACAATAAAATTGACTGTCAAAATTTACTTGAAAAAATATGTTTCCGCGTTCCAAGGCTAGGGAGTCGACAACAAACGGCATTCTATTGTCAAGCTGGCCGTACAAATGTTATGACAAAATCGCCAATTAATCTCATGTGCTGCGTCATGAACAGTGTTACTGAATCGTGTGATATTTTCAGTGACAGTTGTGCATCTATTATTAACTGCTATAGATCATCCAATCTTATTTAGAATGTGTGATACTATAGATTTAAGTCCAAGAACCATGTCTCTTTAATTGTTAATTGTTATTTTTTCAGCATTTCCTGTAATTGGGTTTCACCTGTTGAAAATAAAATAAAATAAAATTAAACAACACCTTTACACATCGGTTTTCAAAAAAAAGGCACAATCTTACAGCAATATCGGAGTTATTCATATTATTTTAATTCATGGTGAGTGTCTTTGAAATGCTATCAGGGCTTCGGGAGAGCATGCCGATCATTTCTCAAGATCCTTCGTGAATTTTTTTTTTTGTTTGGGGCGTTCAGTGTATAAAGCTGAGGTTAGCACGGATGTTGAACTACGTGAGCGAATTTATCAGTATGCTTCATTCATTCGGGAAGGCAGTCCATTCTAAAAGCCTACACCGATGCTTGGCTATGTCGAGCACATACATGTGTGAATCTATCGTAGACAATAATTCTGAACAGTACGTACTTTTTTACTTTTCGGCTGTTAGTTCACCTCACATTAGCTTTGTTATTAGAAACGCAGTTGTTTCTGAAAAGGAAAGTCCCAACTTTCAGTAAACCCTGTATAAGTTATAAAAGAATGGGATGTAATACGAGGGATGCCTTTTAAGTTTTGCATATAGAAACATAGTAGGCCGCGCGGATCGAACGTCATACTGAATCTTAACCTCACTCTTTAGTAAACTTAAATTCAAAGTTTCACAACAATATGTGCAGTGCTCTCACTACAGTGAATTTTTAAGTGTCACCAAGTCATTAGAAAAATGGAACTCAACCGAGAACATTTTCGCGCCATAATTTATCACAACTTTGAGAGACAATTGCCGCAACAAGAATTCCTTGCTGAGTTACTGTCTGTTTTCGGCAACGAAGCGCCACATCAGTCGACAATGTCCCGTTGGTATGGAGAATTCAAACGTGGGCGGGTAGCGTCGATCCCAGGGAGGGTGCACCAAAAACGGCAGTCACCCAGGAAAACGTCATTGAAGATAGACATGTGACATATCGCGAGATTGAGGCGTCCTTGAAAATCTCAAAGATCTCAATTCAAAAAAATTTACATGAAGAATTGAGAGTAAGAAAATTTGTTTCTCGTTGGATACCCCACCTGTTGACTGATGAGCAGAAAGCCGCCAGGGTTAATTGGTGTCAAAAAACGCTTGACCGTTTCAATTCCGGAAACTCAAAAAATGTGTAAAGCATTGTTAGTGATGATGAATCGTGGATTTACTGTTATGGACCAGAAAATAAACGACAGTCGGCTGTTTGGGTTTTCGAAGGTGAAGAAAAGCCAACAAAAGTCATCCGTTCTAGAAGTGTTTCGGAAAAGATGGTCGCAACATTTGTGTCAAAAGCGGGTCATATTGCAACAATTCCTCCTTATGAGCCAAGAACTATCACTGCGGATTGGTATATCACCATTTATTTGCCAAAAGTCATCACCGAGCTTCGAGAAATCAACCCCAAAAGAAGAATCATCCTCCAACAAGACAATGCAAGCTCGCACAAAGGCCAAAAAACAAGGCAGTATTTAACGGAAGAAAACGTGGAATTATTGGACTATCCTCCATATAGTCTCGATCTAAGTCCTGACGATTTTTTTACTTTCCCGAAAATTAAAAACAGACTGCGTGGTCAAATGTTCCAGTCACCAGAAGAAGCAGTTGACCCATTCAAAAATGCCGTTTTGGATCTACCAGCAAACGAGCGGAATAAGTACTTGGAAAATTGATCCCAGCGCATGCAGATGTGTATTATTCTTCGTGTAGAATACTTCGAAAAACAATAAAGTCATTTAAAACTACCCACCATGTTGTTTTATTTCCATATGCAAAACTTAAAAGACATCCCTCGTAAGCTGTAAATTTGTAGAAAGCTTTTTTGCCATTCTATAAGTTGTCTCAAAGGTCTCATACCTTGCATTATGGTGTAAGCTGGGTGACAAAAAAGAGGTAAACACCTTCGTATGCTTAACAGAATTCAATTTTTTACAATCAATTTATTTTGCCATGAACAAGTGATAAAATGGTCAGTTTTTTCTGTTAAGTTTTGGTGGCGGCTGCATGTATCGTTTGGTGATAAAAAGCATTCAGTTTTCATACATTTATGGTGTCACTTAAATGTTAAATTTCGTGTAGCTTATTGAGAAGCCTTTTTGTGATTGCTCAAAATGCCTATAGCGCGTAAAATTCGCCGGATGTCCCAGCTAAGTGACTTTAAGAGGGGTCGAAATGGCGGGTTGCGTGAAGCCGGTCTATCGATGAGAAAAGTTTCTAAGAGAATCAACAGATCCTTATGCAGTGTAAACGACTTCTGAATCTCTACTCGAGCCATCGCTAATCAGTGGTTTGAAGATCATGGAATTATAGTTGGTATGCGTACGTTATATCAACGAATACGACAGTTTGGCCTTTTTTCTTATCGCCCACATTGGGAGCTACCCCTCACAGCTGAACATCGGCGTAACTGTTTGCTCTGGTGTAGAGAATGAATTTCAAGGGACCGGGAATGGAATCTGGTGGTCTCTAGTGACGAATCCCGCTTCTGTCTGAAGATGCTCGATGGTCGGGCAAGAGTGAGAAGGTGACATGGTCAAAGACGTGACACACAATTTGACAGAGCGCGTCAAGTTCACCACACCGTGGGAGTTATGGTATGGGGTGCTATTACGTATATGGTAGCAGATCACTAATTTTCATCAGAGGCAATATGACAGCCCGACGCTATATTCAGGAAGTAGTGGAGTTTCATCTTATTCCATACCTAAACACCATCCAAAACCCGATTTTTCAGCAAGACAATTCCAGACCGCATGTTAGAGCATCTTTAGCCTTCATGGATCAACATCACATCAACCCTTCACCTTGGCCACCACGATGGCTTGACCTAGCTCCAATTGAACATGTCTGAGACATGATAGGTCGCAGTTTCTTGAATTTGCAAGGCCCTTCACAGACTTTAGCAACTCTTACGAAGTTACAGTAGCCTGGAATGAGATACCCCAACAGGATATCGTCCACCTTATCAGCACGATGCCCAGTCGTGAAAATTGGGTGTATAAGAAATCGTCGACCCTAAACAAATTATTGAACCAGCTGCTGCAGTCGGTTGACGAATCAAGCAGAAAATTCAATAATTTTACTAGTAAGGGACACTGAACATATATGCCAAAAATTATTAAAATCAGATAGACATAGATACACAGGTGTTTACCTTTTTTGTCATTCAGTATAATGAAGCATTGCATGCTCTCCGCGCGCTATCTCAACGTTTACTTGAACGTTTGAAATATTAAGACGCGGGCACGAGATTTTCTGAGACTCTTAAGCCCACTTTTAGAATGACAACAAAAGTTTCTACGGGTGTATTATTTCTCATTCCGATGTGAAACCTCTATATGACTGTATTAACTGAAGATCCCTCGTAATTGCTATTATCTATTCTTACTCTCAGAATTTCTCAACGATAGAAATGGACACAGTTCTGTCTCCAACTCTACCTGACATAAAAGCTATTATTCTTTATGTCGAACTATCCCTTAAGACGAGTACTTTTGAATCTTAATATCAAGAAATGTTTCCCAATAACAGCCGTATCGTCAATAAACTTTTTAGAATTAGCATAATGTTTTGTTTTGAAGTTTGAGCTGGCTGGATTATTACAAGGCAACGTATAGACGAAAAGTCACATTTTAAGCATCCAATTAGTCTTCCATTTAATGTTTTCCGAATCACGCGTCAAATAATAATTGCTAATGCTTCCTTCCGCCCATCTTAATTCAACTCCATTTGCTAAGGAAACATCTTCCTAGGGCGAAATTAATTAGAAATGAGACAGGAAGACCATTTATGATTCACTAACACTGCAATATTTATCTTTGAGATTCAATATTTACACCCGTAGAAGACGTTACGCTTGCTTATCGCCAAAGGGCTTATAGTCCGAGCACTGTATTTGGTACGGAGACATCAGTGTTTATATCATGACAAATACGTTTCTTAGGTAAGTGGGATGCGTTGAAGAGCTGGGTGAAATCGTTTCTATTAGCTATTCGATCGCATGCTTTAGACTACGGACTCAGAATCGATTCCTTTGAATTCCGATTCTATCAGAAACCGATCTCCGCAACAATTCCAAAATACACCATCAGTGTTAATCAGCCCTATAAAGGAATGGCAGGACACTAGAAATCGATCATAGATCCCGATGGTCTCGTTCTCGTGATGTGCTTTCTAGTAAACTTTGGTGAACTAGTTCAATTGGTCGCGTTCACTAAAAAACTAGTTCCAGAAACTAGTTTGCGAACGAACTATTGCCTTTTATTCAATAGACCGAGCTAGGCATCGTCGGACGCTTAGTATGTGGATGCATAACATCTTCAGAACACTTTTTTAATTGATCATTTTTTTATTGTTAAGATGAATGTTTTAAGTTAAAATACTCGACGAAAACTGTCATTCACAAAATAGATGAAACTACGGAACACACAATTTTCCTAATAATCTTAATACCTATAATAATATTATTAATATTTTTAATACATAATACATATCTTTGACAGTCGAAAGCCAAACGGGTAATGAAGAGAGAAAGAATATGAGAAGACTCCTCCCTTTGGGATCATTTTGACCTTGAGGTAAAACTACTTTGCGAAGTCCAAAAATCAAATCAAATAATCAAACTGAATAATTTTAATGAACAGATTTTAAAGAGTAAAGAGCAAAAGTCTATCATAGATTGTGTAAGATGGTTAAAAAACGCATGTGTCTTATATAGCGAAATATACTAAGTGACATATAAATCCGAACACCCAGTTTAAATGGTTTTATTTTAATAAAAGTTGGTGAATGTATTTATCTTACTGTAAATAACAAGTGAAAAAATGTTCAGCCTTATCAGTTGGAAATTCCGGTTTTTATACTGCTTTTTTTAATTCACTAACGCTCTAAAAATGAATATTTCAGCCGCAATAAAGAATCAACGTTGGCGGATTTTGGTTCTTGACATCCTTTACGAGCGGTTACGATGCCTAGAGTACGGAGACCTGTACGATTTCGTCAACTTAGTGAGTTTGATAGGGGCGTATAGTGGGACTTCGGGAAGCTGGACTTTCTTTTCGGGCAATTGCAGTTAGAGTGCAAAGAAATGTAGACACTGTGGTTAGATGTTGTCAGGCATGGCTTCGAGAAGGCCGTACCCAAAGAGCAAGGGGCACTGGACGCCGCCGTAGAACAACAGACCGTGAAGATCGCCGCCTAAGATTATTGGCCTTAAGGGACCGTTTCTCCACTACCAGGTCCATTGCAAATGAATGGTTTGCAGAACACGGAAGACCTATTGGCATGCGAAGTGTTTACCGACGAATGAGAAGTTTTGGCTTGTTTTCATACCGGCCACACTGGGTCCTCCCTTCAACTCGAGAACACCGACGTAATCGCCTTGAGTGGTGCAGACAACGGTCACTCTGGGATCAGGAATGGAATAGTATTGTCTTTAGTGACGAGTCTCGATTTTATTCAGGCATGCACGATGGTCATGCCAGGGTTAGAAGGCGACGTGGTGAAAGGAGGAATCCACAGTTTTTTGTTGAAAGACATGTTCATCACACTGTTGGAGTTATGGTTTGGGGTGCTACAGCTTATGGTTCCAGGTCACCTTTAATCTTCATCAGAGGTAACATAAACGCGCAGCGTTATATCCACGTAGTTCTAGATCCCCATCTTTTAGCCTATCTTGACACCCTGGCAGATCCAACTTTCCAACAAGATAATGCCCGACCACATGTTGCAAGAGTCACAATAGACTTCTTTCAACATAATGATGTCACATTGTTACCATGGCCACCAAGATTTCCCAACTTATCCCCAATTGAGCACGTGTGGAATATGATGGGTAGGAGATTGCTCAATTTGCAACGTCCTCCTCAGACTCTAGAAGCACTTCAAGAGGAGTTGGTGGTTGCCTGGAATGAGATACCACAGGAGGACATTGACCACCTGATCAGAAGCATGCCTAGGCGCGTTGGAGAATGCGTAGCACATCAGGGTGCATCGACACATTATTAAAGGTTAAAGGGCTTTAAATCAGAGCAATCATTTTGAAATTTTTATCATTTACTTATTATGCTTCATTAGGTACTTATACAAAATTTTATTAAACTAAATCCATTTAAACTGGGTGTTCGGATTTATATGTCACTTAGTATATGTTCCATGCGAGCGGCTTTTTTCGATGCTGGGAGAGTCTTGTTTTTATATTGAAATATGTAGTTGATTTATATTTTCAGTTTGGTATTGTTCTAATTTCTTCATTAGCCTCAATGGGTGATACGCTGTATGAAATGGTTGCCTACGGTGGTGTCCCGTCTCCACTTTGCTTGGATCATCGAGATCTAATATCAATCGCTCGTGCTGAACGAGTGAGATTTTCGGGGAATGATGATCTACTTCACTTATTTCAGTCATGAGAACCGTTCGTTTGAACTAGTTCGTCAACAAACTACACATCACCTCAGTGATATGTGGTTCATTTTAACGAACTGTTAAAAAGACACGCTTCTGTTAGGATTTGGATATTGCTTTTAATTTTAAAAACTCCAAATGAAGATCTACTATCTGTAGTATATGTGGGTACTTTATGCAATTGCACGGGGATTGTAGCTTGAAATAGGTGGAAGTGATGTTGAGGAGTATTAATTTTCACTTTTCGCAAATGTTATGTCGATTGCAGATATTCACTGTAAATTGTGTATAAGTTAGACCTGCAAATTTTTGGGACAATTAGTGGGCTCAGACGAACTTTTGGGGGTAACACTCAACCCAATGGCTGAGGATAGCTTCAGGCGGTCCGGGCTCTTTAACGGTTTCGGTTCCTTGACCCTTTTGTCAACCGCGTAATACCAGCACTGTACTACTCCGCGAGCCATGTACTGGTAACTAATATAATAAACCAGATCCAGCAATAAGATATACCTATCATTAATATCGCACTCACGTGCATAATATAGTCAATGCACATCACAACATCCATGACACGAAATTAAGTTCCGAGGCTCCCAAGGAACTGCTTTAAGGCACGCCTCTGTTAGGATCCTGATATTGCTTCAAATACTTCAAATCGGGATTGAAGCATGAAACAGGTTGGGAGGGATGTTGAGGGTATTAGTCCGAAAGTGTTATGTCGATTGGGGCCATTTGACACTTTTTTTGTTATACCGAAGCAGCCGCGCAGGCAGAAGCCCAAATGCCAGTACACCGCGGCTGCTATGAGGATCCCAAAGAAATTTTGTTAATCAGATTTTTGATCTGCACAAGGTTAGTAGAACTGAAAATAGCTTCCTCTTGTAGATTGTAGATATCGACACCCTCGGAATAAATGGAGCGGTCGTATCGGCCAGTTCTGGATGTACAAAGTTCTACACGGTTAGGACAGGTGGCCGAAGTCTGGCGGGTCTGTCTGGCAGGCACATCGCGCAGCGACATCATGAAGAAGAGCTCTGAAGAGCGGAGCCCGTTGGCGTAGCAGTAGAAAAGAGCTAGATAGAGTGTCCGTTAAAAGAGTGTAATCGATCAGGCGGGCAACCCTCCCCTGAACAGTATCGGGCATTAATAATGTAGTTGGGGCAACAGCACCCCAAACGTGTGAGCACTACTCGGGGCTATGTCTTACCAGGATCTTGTATAAATAAATAACCTAGCTTTTTCCAGCAGCTGCCGCTATTAACGACATGTGTTCGAACTAGATCAAGTCGGTGACCTGGACTCCGACCGGCTGAAATGAACAGCTCTTTGGCAGAACTCGTCCATCCATCGAAACCGGATGAGCGCTAGGACGCTTTCTGTTCGTTAAGGTACAGTACTGTATTTTTGGAGTATTAAGCTGTAGAAAATTTTTTTCCAAGCAGTGATAACCTCCAGGTCTCTCGTAAGAAAGAAAGTCGCCGCTAGTCATCTTTTTTCCAGCTCACCGCCAGAGATCGACTTGTCACCCTAAATTCCTGCATGTAGAGTGCTGTCATCAGCAAATCTGTGGATTGATTGATTGATCGTACATGAGAGGAGGTCAATCATATGTAAGAAAAATAGTGTCGGAGCCAAGACCGATCCCTGGGAAACACCCGGGTTGACGGCGTGGGATGAGGAGGAGAACCCATCAATTACGGCGGCCAGAGAGAAAGTCAGTCACCCATCTGCAAAGCTTCTCTGGGAGGCCATAGGATGGAAGTTTGCATAAGAGGGCAGCGTGCCACAGCTGACCGAACGCTTTCGTGATATCAAGAGCCACGACATGAGCGTCACCATAAGGCTTCATGTGTTTACTCCACAATTTCGTGTCGTAAGCTATGAGGTTTCCTATGTATCGCTGGTGTCGGAGACCTGTCGTTAGTCAAACCGTAACGTTGGAGTTAGTCCAGCAGCTTGCGATTGATACCCCTTCTCCACTATCTTACTTATCGGTCGACCTTAGATCCTTTTTTGGGATGGATTGGTCTTGAGCAAATTTCCAGGTTTCTGACGTGAGACGTGAAAGAAATGGAGCAAGCTCCACAGCACACCTCTTTATTACAACGGCAGGAATCAAGACCGGAAGCTTTATTGATATCGAGCGACAAGAGCACCAGTCTTACGGTCTTATGCCTGAATGATACTTCCCGCATAGTGACCTTTTAGTCGACGGCACTTGGGCGTTGGGGGGGACGTCGATGGTAGAGTTGGTAACAAAGATCTTAAATCACTTCCGCCTTAGCCTTTAAGTCGATTACAATCGTTCCATCCTGGCACGTAAGCGGTGGAAGGCTACTCTGTGAGAGGTTCCTTCCAATCCAACTTATATATCATGCTGGCCTCTGGCATTGCGAACCGCTTCATTTTATTTGTTTCTGGACCCGACGTCGGCTTGTCTGTTCTCTACTGTGGGATTTTGTAAGAAGAATCTGTGTGCCGAGATCTTCTGCTGACGAGCAGTGTCTCACGATTTGTTGAACCAGTCGTTGGGCACTTTCCCTGTATAAGTAATATGCCTATTCCTCCATCCCAATGCGAATTTCTGTTATCGATGAACAGACAGCCGACGCGTCAGCGTCAGCAAAACAAACATATTTCCAAGGAAAGGCGGAGAAGAACTCTCTAAGCCCGTCCCAGTCGGCATGTCCGTAATGCCAAATTTTGCGGCCTTAGCGAATTTCTGATGCCACAATGGCTTCTGACCGAAATCTAAGCTCCACAACACCCTGCTTTGACTTACAAGGGGTAGACAAGACAGCAGTACTGTAAAGGACAGGATACGAGGTCAGACAGAGATACAGCAGGCTACTGGCATGTGACGAAACGCGGGAGGAGAAAGGTAGGGCTTGTCACCAGCTGGGTCAGCCGTTCGATAATTGCGACAACTTCAACTGCACGAACTGCTGCATCGGTCGGGTTTGAACCCAACCAAGGCCCATTATGGGCACTGAAATCACCGAAAAGAAGCGGGGTGGTGGATGTTCAGGAAGTCGTTCTACACCGCAAGGTATTCAAGTAGGTTATCCCAGTCATGGTCCGAGGGAGAACTATAAAGGCAGCAAATAAATTTGGGGGAACGACTCTGGAGTAGGAAAGACTGCTGCAGACAAAATCCCCAACTGCCCTGTTCTTTATCAGATTGGTGTGCACCTCGTAATTCGGGAAGCGAAGATTATTAATTCATGCAGACTCTGAGATATTTGTCTCCGCAATGAAAAGCATGGCGGGACGATTGGATTGCAGGTAGTGATGAGCAGCATCAATGTTGCTGTTAATTCCGCAGATGTTCATGAAACAAATGTTATCATCGATGCTGTAAGAGTGGAATGAGCTTACCTCCGGAACCCCGGAACCCGGACAGCGTAGCTTAGATGTAGAAACATGCAGACATTTATAAGACACAAAAGAAAACGCTAGCGGGTGGTACCGCCTCGGTCGATTGGCCCTTGCCTACCTCCTTCTTTTTGCGTGTTTATGATATTAAATAGACCTAAGTTGGCTCGTGGCTCACTTTAAGACAATCTCCGGTGACCTATTGGTTGCACATTTTTAGGGCAATTAGTGGGTGCGGATTTCCCTTTGCCACTGTTTACGTTGGAGCCAGTTCTACTGTCTGAAATACTTTACAGTTTGCCTTCCTTTATGTTGCTAAACCTCTTTTTCACATATTCCTTAAGTGCAAATAATTCGATGCAGTTATGTTGCAGACAAAACAATGCCGTCTTGCAGCTCTTGCGCTTGCATGCAATGGTCTTGCGGACTGTAAAACGGTGTTAAAAATCTCCCTTCCCTACTCCAAATCGTGCTTCTTGACAATTTAACTTTTTTTAGAAAACAACCGGCTATCATGAGCCTCATAATATTCCTACAATCTCATCTACAAATCTATTTCATCCTCTTGTTACCACTAATATAATGAAAATAATAACTGCAACGAAAGTGCTGTTCGGACGAAACGGAGAAACCCCTCTGGACCCACAAACTATGTTTGGACCTGGTAACACAACGTTTGACGGTTTCGTAGAGAAGCATCCCTTTTAATCCTTAGTCCTTAGCACCTTCACCAGGGAAGTCTTGTGTATGCAAATCCCGCTGGTGGTAGATTAGCATCTGGAGTGGTCTGCGAGGCTCCAGAGTTAATTAGATTCCGATTATGTTGTCGACTGCCGCGAGAAAAGCGAGGACAACGCCTTTTTACTCTCATTTCGATTAAATCATGCATGGAACTACAGGATATGATATGTAGGTTCTGATTATATTTAACCTTGTATAGTTTCTAGGACCGCAGACAGACAGACAGAACAGCGAACTGACCGACATACTCTGAAAACCGTTTCACAGTTCAAAAGACAAGCAAGGCAATTGCAAGTTTGACCTGTTACCTCGGCACGGGTATCACGTATCTTGAAAAGTGACATTATGCCGATTTTTTTTTTACATTATGCTGTTTTTTTTTGACATTATATAGGTTATCCTTCAAGATGATAACTTAACACTTAGTTGTACGTGTTGCCTAAACGTCATGAGGCTGGTTAGCAATCTTTCGCTGTGGTGTGATGTAA